AATCCTTATAGGCATTTTGATTACTCCGATTATTGTTTATTATTTAATCACTGATTTTTAGTCCAATCTTTTTTTAGTCCAATCTTATTTTCAGACATACGTGTCTATAAATAGGTTTATTCCGAAGTTAATCTTTATGATATATATATTATATATATATATATATAAACATCTATATATTATTTATAGGAACTAAGCATACACGAGCATACATATACTATTTATATACGAATAAATCTATATTGGTCCTATTTAATCTACAAATTGTTACGTACGTACGTACGTACGTACGTAGTATAATTATATATCTGATATATATAGTATATACTACTATATGTAAAAATAGAACAAATGATTTAATTCAATTAACATTCCGTTTACGTACGCCGGAGCAAGAACAAATGTTTAATTCACTTAACACTCCGTTTTATGCCGGAGCTAGAGAAACGATTTTGATCATCCAATTGTTCCATAATCGATATGTAATAGCATTCAAACCCGCCCTTTGCCATTCCTTGACTTTCTTTTCAGCCTCTATGATTGTAATAGAAAATATTGCTTGTTAAATTTCAGAACTTGTAGAACTGTAGAACTTGTCCAAGTTAACGTTCAATTCGAAGCTAATAGCAAAAACCTTTTACTTTTTATTTTATATGACCATTATATATTTTTTTCTAATATAGACTCCTCTTTTGGTTTCTCTTGAATCTTCCAGCTTGTCCGTATGATATCGTATTACAAGACCAAAATAAAATTATAAAGTTGAAAATATACTTTTAAGCATCCAAAAAACTTTTTCGAAATCGTTTTGCGTCTTTTGACGTCAGAATAATAATGTACGACGATCAGATGCTTAATTAGGGGAACTATACGATTGAGAAGTTTGTATATATGTACGTACATACGTGCAGTAAGGATAAATGTATCAAACAATGCATTTACATTGTATTGATTAAGGCACTGTTTAAGAGAATCATACTGTTAATCTTCAACAATATTACAATGAACAAAGATCAGCATGGAGTTTAGGTGTTAGAATTCTGGAAAATGGCTTAAACTTTAAGGTTAGAATAATAATATTTTTCCGATCTATCCGGGATAATCAAAGCGATATTATAATCCTTGGCCTTATTTGGGTAACTTTACCGAACATTTCTAGAATTTGATCCCCATACTTCGGTTATGACTTGTTAACGTATCGATATGGAAACTTTACGTTGATCAGAAGTCCTGGAGATCAATTTATTAAAAAATACGTCAAGCCTCGTTAATGTCAACCCATTTGGATTAGACAATTATGTTGATATATACAGTTTTTATATAGTTTGAGCCTATTTTTTTTTTGTTTTTTTAATAAGAGGTTGATATTAACGAAAGGTTGACTGTATATGTATCGACATATAAAAAACAATTATTTTACCGAATTGATTATAAAACTTTTTTGGAAACTATAAAAAAAAGGCATTTCTAAATTAAAGTATATAGTTTAAAAAGGTGTAATTTATTTTTGAAGTAAAGTAGTACATAACGATAAATGGTCGGCTAAGAATATATTTGGTCACTAATAAAAGAAGAAATTCCGTGATTCGAGACTTAGCCCATATTTGTGTAAATCACACGTTCAGCACGGTATTATGATGTTATAATATGTTCTATAACACGATAGAATGTTCGAAAATACTTATATGTTAATATTTTGTAACACAATTTTTCATTTTTAGATTCGTTTTTTTTGACGTAACTTAACATAAATTTCAGGGTTGAAAAGGAACCATAAAAAGGTTTCAAATAGGTAATACTAAGGCCAGATTTGATATAATCGATCATCACTAGCTAATTGAATTGTAGTTTATTCTTTATTATTTTCACATTTTATATTCCTTGATAGAATGAACACCTGGTAAATGTTACTATTTACATTGTAACGCAATCTTTCGATCAATTATTCCGAGACGCACGCAGTATGAAAAAAAATATATAAAAACACTCTAGTAGCGACCAAATCCAAACATTAAACCAAGATATAATAACCATTAGAATTATCATTAAATTTATTATTCATTATAATTATTAACAACCTGATAAATCCTTTCAAATATGTTTAATTCAACTTCTGAAATTAACATTAACTCTGTTAACTCTACACAAATACCATCGGTTTCAATATCACCGGATAATAACAGTAATCCTACTAACGCTAAAAACCGTGGTAATTATGTTAAATCTGCTTGTCGACCTTGTGCACTAGCAAAAGTCAAATGTTCGGGGGATATGCCTTGTGATCGGTGCTCAAAACATGTAAAAGATTGCTTATATGAACCTCAAAGAAAACGTGGACCCAAAATTCGTCGTTCACGTTCTACAAGTTGCGACAACCGATATAAGCAACAACAAGACGATCTAGGTTCTGTGCCTCTTCGTCGCACACGTTCCAATTGTGATCGAAGACGGTCCAGCAGCCCTTTCGAAACGACTAAGGCAGAAAACAATAATGCACTTTACATTTCCTTTCCAAATACTTCATCCTTTTTGACTCAGAATGATAAGTTGCATCCAAACCATTATATTGAAGGAAATCAAAGTTTACAACCTGGATTTAATTACCCGGATCCTGCCCTGTTAACCCCTAGCGGAGTATTTAATCATTCAATTGTAGATATGTGTTTTACACCACCTCAGCCTGAAATAATACAAAATAATTGTCAATCTGACTTTCCTCATTCTCCTCAAAGTGATGAGTGGCAATTTAACTTAGTTCCTGAGTTTGAAAACTATGCCTATTACATTGACTGAGCTTGAAAAACAGGCACTACGTACAGACGTACGTACATACATAACAAATAAAAATTTGTAAGTGCATACCTCCAGTTAAAAAAGGATATTACATGGCATTCGAACCCGAATAATCTGATTGATAAACAATTAATGAACATTGTGTTTATTCGTTTAATATTCCACTTTCATTTTTTTTTTTTTTTTTACCATTCATATTGCATTTGGCATAGACATTTATTGTATTAGAATTATAAATCAAATTTTTGTGAACTCATATATTTTTTTTTTCTTTTATTATTAATAATGGTGATTGATTTTTAAGAAAGAGGAACAAACGTCTTCATAAAGATTTATTGAATGTTTATATATTTAATTAAATTGAACTCAATTTATTGGTTACGTTTTAACTTGGCTAAATTTAGTTAAATTAACAGTAGCATTAGTGTTAGTCAACTATTTCACTGATTGGTTAAATCCTATAGTAGCAATAGTGTTCAACGTTAATGTATTCCTTTGGTTACTGTACTATCGAATAAATCGAATATTTTTATAGAATCCCATTACGTACGTACGTAGTATGATTAGTTTTGTGGATCAAATATTATTAAATTATGTTTAGTCTTAAAGAATGCATTAAGTGGCATAAGTTTTTTGTGTCAAGAACTGTATACAGATAGCATTTCGCATTTTATTACATAAAAAAAAAAATTTCTATCGCTATTGATTTCAATCTACGACATAATTTATTGTCCGGCCATTATTTCAGACATATTTGTCATTGCAGACCTTCATCTGAAACAACTTGATCCGCACTGTTTTCGTCATCAGGTTTAATTACCGGTAGAGTTGTTGGATGAATATAAAATACTAAAAGACCCACTATCGTACAGACTACCGCTACTGGATATAGTACGTGCATCTATTTTTTTAAAATAAAAAAAAAATCGTAAAAAAATAAAAAAAAAAATTAATAATAATAATGTGAAAAATCTTTGAATGAAATCAAAATAACTTTTAAATACATACCACAGCTTTAAATAAAAACCAACTGAATATCAAAGTGAAAAAATCACTGGTAAGGAAAGAAAGATTAAAAAATGTTGCCGAGGCTAACCGGAACAATATTGGAGTCCCTATGTATGTCACTACGACCGTTATCGCAGAAAAGACAACAAGGCAGACTATTCATAAAAACAAAAAATTTGAATTTTAAATCGACGTAGAATTGATGATGTTTAAGATTGACAAATACTTATAGGTCCGGTCCATACAACTTTTGCCAAATCGAAACGTTCCAAAGTTACTCTTTCAAAAAAAAAAAAAACGCGTAATTTATGAAAATATTAATTTTTCGCATACAACACAAAAATTCACAATAACTTCTTTTTTTGATCCTACACATGAATTCCACTAATAATCATTCCCCAAAGTCCCATTTGTCCTAATACTTCGTATGTTGGCCGTTTTCTCACATAATACTCTTCGGCAACATTAGATATTCCATAAAACGTTGCACTTATTAAGCAAAATATATCACCCTTTATCGGATCCAATGCTTTGTTCAAACAAGATTAGAATATATTATTTTGTGTAAATATAAAGAAAAAAAAAAAAGAACTTGATTATTGAAACTCACCATAGTACATATCTTTTCCACTTTGAAAATCAGCCTCGATCAAGACACCGATTCCGGCCATACAAATTACTATACCCAAGTATTGAGACCAATGATATTTTACATGCAAAAAGAATATAGATAAGATCACGCATACTGGGATCGCCCAGGCGTCGAGCAGGACCGTAGATAGGATAGATGTATATGCGTAAGCTTTTATTCCGAAATAATTTGCCTCTACGTCTACAATCGAAAGCAAAAAATCTAAAAAGGGTGGAGATACGTTCACGTGATTATACATACTAATAGACCTTTTAACAAGCAAAGAACTTACATTTCCATCCGCGAACTTTAAGCATTCCCAAGTATGCACGTATACCATTCTTATAAATGGTAATAGGCGTATAAATAGAAGTCAAAGTCGTATACATAAAAAAACTTAAAGTTGCAGGTAAACTGGTATTATAATTAAGTGCTAAAGCGGTGACAAGAACAATTGCACCCGTGATGCATAACGAAAGAAATTGACCAAGTAAAAAAATGAAAGCAAATTCTTTAGTAAATAGAAAAGAGAATTTGGATTTTATCGATGGTGACATCTGTGGTTGTATATGTGGTTGTGAGATTGAAATTTGTGATGTTTCATTACGAGATATTGGAATGGTCGTATGTGACAGAGGTTTCTCTTTATTAGAAGACATTTTTTCCCTACTAATCGATCATGTGGTTTGAATAATCTTTAAACTCGAAGAACGAAAGAGATGATCCAAGAAATTAAAGAGAAGTATGCAAAATACGATGGCTTTTATTTGAAATAGCAGAGAATGCATTATTTTAATAGGGTTATTAAAAGTCCGACACCATAAATAGGGACATTAACAATAACAGATATTGCATGAATGTCTTTCCAATTCCTTAATCACACAATTATGCAGGAATGACACTTTCTAGGCTCAGAATTGGTCTCAAGGTATAAGGATCGGGTTCAACAAGCTTTTAACAGCCCTGTACATAAGTAGTGGAGTGACAATTAGCTCAATTCGAAAAAAACTCTGGTTCACTTGAGATGAACTAATTTCCGAGACTTGGGTAATTAGAACGGTGACTATGGACGTGAGAAATTTTTATATGTATCAGCTAATTAAACTACCTTCAGGCTAATTCATTCTACTTCTGGTTAAGTTTTGATCATTGATCTTGATCTCGTGATCTAGATTGGAAGAAAGACACACGAATAATACTCCCAGATATAGATTTGTCGTATGGTATCTTGCAGCAAATGAATTAATTTCCAAAAAAAAAAAAAAAAAAAAAACTATTGTTGCTTATCATGCTGTTTCAGAAAAATAATGATCCAAATATATCTCCTACTAACGTTTTCTACTAACATGATACCCTATAATTACACAAAATAACGCCCCGGGCGTTATTTAGGGACATGCAATTTGGAGAGCTAACGCTAATCGTAATTAGTCGATTAAATAATTGGCCTTCTTCTTGGATAAAGGTATATTCACTATGGTTTACGCATGTTCCAAGTCAAAATTGATGCTTATAACTTTTAATATGTATATATATGTAACTTTATTAGTAATATTATAAATAATGTAAATAATGTAAATAATCTAAAGTAGAAATGTGTACGTATGAACTTCCTATCACTTTGTAGTGAGAGTTATTAATGAAATCTGATGTTATTCCACAAGAGTTTTTCTGATCTGTTTAATTTGATAAATGACCTTTGCCTAAAT